CTCTGGCTATATATCCTCTCTTTCTGGAACGTGATTTTGTCACAACACACTCTTGAGCTTAGGTCAGCAAACCCACACGTCAGTCAGCTTACACGTACTCAGACCAAGCCATGAGCCGGTGTGAGTGAATCCAGGTGGGTAATACATTACAGTCCCAGTGAATCCGGTTGAAGGAAAGTTTAGTGACAGGCCTAGTGAGTCCGCCTCAGGAAACTTTCGGTGAGTCGGAGTGAGTCCAAAGCGCAAGATAAATTCCTCGAGTGAGTCCAAGTGGGTTCCACTCATGTATGCCGACGTGTGCTCTCAGGTGTGCTGCGACTCACGTGACGACCTCGCAGAGCGACAATCAACTCGAGAAAACTTGCGCTCAGAGTTACGCCGACTTTTTCGCGTCTCGACACTGCGGCCAATCAGAAGGACGACGAAGCCGCACTCTAGCGCAACGAGCGAGGCTACCAACACAGCGTACGAGCCCTGCTTTTTTTTCGCGGGGGACGGCTGTTTATAATGAGTGTGTAGCAATAGGTGGCAGAGCACAGCGATGGCCTCTAGTCGGGGCGTCTGGGAGCAGCCGTAACGGCCCGTTGCAATGAGGGTTTGCGAAATCGTTCCAGGCCAAGGCCTCCGTTGAGCTGGCCGCCAGCAGATCGCCGCCACCATTGTCATCGGCGCGAGCTGTTCTCCAAGGACTTTTTTTCCCCCCGTGTATGGACGTAGGTGCTGACCAGCGAACCAGTACGGAAATACCCAGCTTTCGCGGTAGCGAAACGCTAGCTCGAATGTTCTTGTCATTTTTTTTTTCGTTTTCTTCTCCAACGATCAAACGCGTTTTCTTTTTATTCTGTTAAGTGCGTATCACGTTAAAATCGCGGCTTCCCGTCTATCCACTCCCTTACTCCGCGTGGTGACACAGTATATATAGTTGACACAGGCATAAAACAAAGCTTACAATGCTCAAAATCAGTGCAGAATAAACTAATCCGGTGGTTCCACGTAAGATCTAACAAAGCATGGCCGGTTGACCTCCTGAACTCATTTCAAAATCTTATATATTGCCTAATAAACGAAAAGAAGAGATTCGCAATCGGTTTTGCCGGAAACATTTTTTCGAGTAAATCAATAATGACGATGACGTGGAGTGCCACGCTTACTTGCCGGGCTGTTTTGTCTGACTCTGGTGATCCTTTACACAAAAAAATATTAACGCTACGTACCTCAAACTTGTTCAGCTAAATATAGGCATACTTTCGCTTACGAACCATTATTTTTAGATTATCCCCGTAATATAGATTTAAAAAAAATTCTCTAATTCTACCTCTAAAACAATTTTTGGCCTACATGCACTGCAGGCCTTTACTTCAAAAAACGCCTGCGACAGGGCAGTGACCATTCCGCACTACTTTCTCAGCATTCCTATTTATAAAACTGCCAAAGCTTATAATGTTAACACTTTTCTATAACAAGATGAAAACGTGCTAACTTGAAGAAAACAACGTACAAGGGAAACATTTGATGACGATCGAAAAACATTTTTGAAGAAAACAACGTACAAGGGAAACATTTGATGACGATCGAAAAACATTTTTGATATCTCCTAAAGTTTTGCCACTTAATTTCTTGCACATCAGCTTTAACAATCAGTAAAAACATGCTGTATAATGTGGTTCCGCTTACAGTTACGGCCCGTAAGATAAAGTACTTGCGCAAGAATAGGCATTTGTAGATCGGCCTTCCTGCCCACTAAGTATGGAATGCAAGCCTATACTTCAGTTTCTTAAGAAGCAAGCAGCACAGAAATAGCTGTCGCTTGCAGTGAGAACGCCAATTTCATACTTATTAGGTCAGAGGTGCGGCCAGGAGTTCTGAATTAACGCGCAAGGAAGCGCTCACAGCCCGGCGTAATCCGGGGCAAAGGCGGCTCGTTTTTGTGTGCTCAGACGGATATAGATTGCGATACAGCCGGAGGTAGCTACCACACAATTTTCATAATAAAATGTTTCCATCATCATCCACACATGTGCATTGGAGCGTCGCTATTTTATCCGGCTTTTGCTCGCATCGCAGCCACGTGCTGTTAACATGGCATATCAAAAGCAGACATTGTTCGCACTTTTTGTGTGTTCAAAGTAAACGCAAACAAAAGCACGTCTATACAATACGTGCTTGTATATTTAAACAAAAGCACCCCGAGGTGACTGGCGCAACTTGGCCACGACATGATTCCAGTGAAAGTGCTTCTCGCGTAAACAGAGGCGATCGGCCAAGGTCACAGATTCGCTGTCTGTAGATCAAGTTTCCCGACCGCATAAGAAACACTTCAAGGCGTCGACGTGCAAGTTGATGTTTGACAGGGTTCCCTTGGATGGAAAGCACCATGGAAACTCTTGTGAGGAGCATTTCCGATGAAGGCGGAAATGTTGTAGGCCCGCGTACTCAGATTTGGGAGCACGTTGAAGAACCCCAGGTGGTCTAAATTTCCGGAGCCCTCCACTACGGCGTCTCTCATAATCATATCGTGGTTTTGGGACGTTAAACCCCAGAAATCAATCAATCAACTCTTGTGAGGAAGCAGCAAGCGCTCGCTTCTCACACGCTGGTGACAGCCGCTTTCGCCAGAGAAACTTCACTGCGCGAATTGAGTCGCAGTGAAAATCATGAAGGTGGCGCTCCAGGAGTCACATCTAAAGAGTACAAACGCGAAACTACAGATAACAGAATGCGCCTGCCCATCCCAGATGACGATAGCAGACGACTTATATACTGGCCGTGCGCGCAGTCCGCTGCTCACACTTCATTTGACTCCGACAGTGCTCGCGCTTTGCTGTTCTGCTGCGCGTTTCATTGCGGCGGCTCCTAGTAAAATTATTGTACAGGCTACTACCATTCGAAGCACAAGAAGCTCATTTCAAAGACACGAAATTTTCGCAGAGTTATCGATTCGTACGTCACAGTTTGACGCCGTAGTGCCTCAGGAACCTTATGCATACAAACTGATTTCTAATCATTCACTACTGCGTTCATCACTGCTAATTTGCAGTGACAAGACATAGTTTATTTATTACAATATCCTGCAAAGTTGAAAAGCCGTACGTAATCACAAATTTCGTACAATCTTCAGACGCACGTGTTGTGCTCAGAATTGCGCGAAGGCCTTATTCGATGGGCCCCTTTTTTTTACACCGGAACATGCCTGACTGTGCGCATTTGATTGCTCATGGCCGCTCCCGTCACCGAATCGTTGCGAAATTGGCGTCCTCAGTGTAGCTGACAGCTATTTCAGTGCTACTTGCCTTTCAAAGTATAGGCTTGCATTCCATACTTAGTGGGCAGGAAGTCCGATCTACAATTGCCTATCCTTGCGCAAGGGCATTATTTGACGGGCCGTAACTGCAAGTGAGACCGCATCATGCAGCTTGTTTTTACTGATCGCGAAAGCTCATGCACAAGAGAATAAGTGGGAAAAGCTTAAGACATATGAAAAATGGGCAGTTTTTATCAAGGTCATCAGAAGTTTACATAGCTCGCTGTTAGAACGTTTTTATCATTTTAAAGAAAAGTGTTAACATTATGAGCTTTGGCAGTTTTACAAATAAGCATGCTGTGAAAGTAGTGCCGAATCGTCACCGCCCTGTCGCACGCCTTTTTTGAAATTAAGACTTGCAAAGTATAAATAGACCAAAAATTGTTTTCTGGGTCGAACTTGAAAATTTTCATTAGAAATCTACACTAGGCAGAGAATCTGAAAACATTTGCTTGTAAGCGCAATTGCGTCTATATTTAGCTAACCAAATTTGAGGTTCGTAGCTTTATTATTTTTTTGTGTAATTCATGTAAGAAAATAACAGCAGAGCAAATAAGCGTGGCACTCCACCTCTTCGTAATTATTGATTTACTGTGCTTCAAAAAAGAAAAAAAGTCTTCCCCAAGGAACCAATCACAGATCTCTTCATTGAGGTTAATAGTATATGAAATTTTGAAAGAAAATTAAGTGACCGACCAGCCATGCTTTGTTAGATCTTACGTGGAATCACCCAACAAGTTCTTTAATACCATATGCTGCTGAAATAACATAATTAATCGCGACATTTTGCCTTAAAACCACGAAAAACTATTCTCAATGATCCGGCTGGAACCCGCGCCGCGGGATAGGGGGCACCACCGACCACCTCGACAAGTGCGTGAAGGGAATCGCTGGGTTGCCCGTATTACACGCGTGCTGAAATTTCACGGTTCTGACGCTGCATAAGGAGCACGTCATTGAACTACATCAAAACCTACACAAGAAATACATTAGTGCTACCTTAACCGCCACAGACTAATAAGATTTTTATCTCGGCGCTACATTTTCCAGTCGAAGCTTCTTACCACAAACTGCGATATCGTAGGAATCGCACTTGAAGCAAGACTTGTTTTTGTAATGAGTGCATCGTCCACCTCGATGGTACATAGGTGACAGTTATCGACCACTAACGCGAATGTCACCGCGGTTCAATCCCGACCAAGGCGGTCTGGACACCTACACTCCGACGTGCCTTCTTACATCGTGGTTTTGGCACGTGAAACCCCAGATACTACTATCAGAGTTATCAGTTAGTAGTAACCAGCGTGAAATGGCGGATACGAGGGTAATCTCGTTGGACTGTCTGAAGGGCAATTGGAAAGTTCGTGTTAACTGATCGCGTGACTCGGAAGTTTCGTAGATTGTGTGGCGTGTTCGACCCTCTCATGAAACTTAAGTTGTCAACACAAATGTACCATTTGCATCGTCGAGCCTCGACTTGACGTCTTTATCATGTCATGCTCATTTCAGCAATACGCGGGGAGCATCAGTGTCACGTACGTAAAACAGCACTTGTTTCGCGCACAAGGCGGTCAAAAAGATGTACCAAGTTGTCCAAGGCACTTTACGTTCGAAGAAGAAATTAGTTTTTCTCAAGTGAGAAAAATTACGTTAAACTAGATATGCCTTACGGCAAATAATGACACGGTCGCTGCATTGCTTTTTTTTTTTCTGAAAACAAACTTTACTAGCGCTGCAATCAATTCGTTGACTCGTATGTACAACTCGTCGCTCTCGGATAACTTATTTACAGGGCAACATGTACAAGAGCTGTTTTTATACAAAGTATTTACAACTTCACAAAGGTAGGAGCGAAGCGTCTCCTTGTGGCACGAGAAGGAAGAATTTTTTGACCAGTCCAGCAAACACGCGCGACATATACGTGCTAAGCTCGCGTCTCTCTGTGTGGCGGGTTCTTTTCTGTCGGCGTCGCAGTACTTACAATGTCGTAGGACGGGTCGTTGCTGATTCTGGACGACGGAGCGATGGCACGCCCACTTTCTTAATCCAGCGTCTGATCCCGCACATTTCTGTGTTCACAGTGTTCACGTTCTTGAGCAAGAGTGAAAAGAAGAAACATAAACCGCTCGTCCCCTCCCGCGCACAGCGAAGAAGGCGGTCGTCACTTTGAGCAAGCAAACAAATGAATAGGCGTCACACACGGCGAGTAGGCACTGTTACGCAGGCGTGTCACCGGATGTGCCGCTGCTGCGGCGGACTCTGTTGTTGGTGCAGCTGGTGTTGCCAGAGGCCCAGGTTGAGCACGCCGAGGTTGGGCAGCTGCATCAGCTTCTCCAGTCCCACGGTGGTGATCTTGGTGCAGCCGTACAGGTCGATGCAGCGCAGCTGTTTCAAATGGTCCGCTATGAGGCTCAAGCCCTTGTCGGTGACGCGTCCGCACTGACCCAGGTGTAGCGTCTGCAAGTCGCCCAGGGACCTCGCGACGCGCCCGATGCCGTCGTCGCTGACGGGACACGCGTTGAGGCTCAGGCTGCGCAACTGAAACAGTCCCTGCGATGCGTGCAGCAGACCCTGGTCACCGACCTTGTCGCAGAAGCTGACGTCGAGCGCGCTGATGCGCGAGCCTCCTTCGGCGAGGTACGCCAGGCCCAGGTCGGAGATGTTGTCGCACGAGCGCAGGTTAAGCTCCCGCAGGCGCGCCATGCGAGCGGCGTACTTCAGGCCGGCGTCGGTGACGCTGGCGCAAAAGCTCAGGTTCAGACTCCGCAGGTCCAGCAGTCCGACACTGATAAACCTGAGCGCGTCGTCGGTGAGCTTCTGACAGTCTTGCAGGCACAGCGACTCTAGCCTGAGGGTGCCGATGGCGGTGGCGGGGGTCATGCCCGCCAAGTGGCCGATGCCCGCGTCCGAGACGCCGCGACAGCTTCGCAGGTTGAGAGAGCGCAGGTTGTGCAGTCCCCAGGCGATGAGGAGCAGCCCGGTGTTGGTGACGTCCGTGCAACCACCAAGGTCGAGCCTCTCGAGGCCCTTGAGGTGCTGCGCGATGCGACCGAGGCTGTTGTCGGTGATCTGCTTGCACATGCTCAGGTTGAGCTCGTTGAGCGAGTGCACGTCCTGCACGAAGGCGTGGTTCAGCCACGCGTCGGTCAGGTTGAAGCAGCCGATCATGTTGAGCGACTCAAGGTTCGGCACGCCCTGAATCACGTCGCGCAGCGAGCGCTTTAGGCTGAGCACCTGAACGCGCCGAATGCCGCGCCGCACCAGGCTGGGGAACAAAGACGGGTTTGGGCGTCGCAGGTGGAGCTTGGCCTCGACGCCTCGCCACACGGACTTGTGGTACGCGGCCTCGCGCCACGCGGAACACACTTGCGACACGCGGCCCTTGTCCCGCACGTCCAGGTAGCTGAAGATGAGGGCCAGTATCTCCGGGTAGAGCCGCGATATGTGCGGCGAACCGTGCGAGCCCGTCTCCATGGGCGAGCACGAATCGCTGTCGGCCGCCGCCGCCGCTGCTGATGTTGCTCGTCGGCCGCCACTCGCCGAGTTCGTCTGCTGGCGGCGGCGCCAGCTCGCAGGGATGCACGCCGACAGGCGCCTCCTTCCCGACACGCCCCGCGTGTCACGAGGCGGGCACCACGTGATCCGCTCCGGGCGGCCCTCGTTGGACGCCGTTCTGGCGCGCTTTTTCACTTTCTGGCGCGGAAAAACGCGCGCCACGGCCGCGGCGGAGGAGCGCGCCGGCGGATCGAAAGCGCGAAATCCGAATCCGTTCGCGCCGAACGGGGACTGCGTGCACCATCGGAAAAAACGCGCGCCCGTCGTCGCCGGCAAGTGGTGGCGCGAGGAGAAACAACTCTCCAGCACTGAGCGGGACACGGTGTTCCCGTTGAAGTTAATGGCCGTCAAGCACGCACAGGCGCTCACAGCGGGGGCTCCGCTGCACCACTTTCGTTCGTCGTTGGCATCGTCGCCACCGACACAGGCACGCGAAGGTTCCGAAAAGTTGTCCATGTCAGCGATTCGGAAACGGGTTCCGGCATTTACGGGGCATATCGTGGTGTCAGTCATATCGCAATGTTACGCGCCAAATGAAGAGTGCAGTGTTCCTTTCCTACTCGTCGAGTACGAATTCTCTGGGTCACCCATCCGAAACAGTTGAGCTGCGAAGTCGAGAATGTCTGCGTGCGGAAGAAAAGGCCATAACGGGAGCGTTCCGACCTCAAGCTGTCCCCACCGGCCAATCACGAAACTACGGCCTCATCTCGTGGTCCCCGAGGGAACAGGCTCATCTCGCGTTCGTGGGTCAAAAGCGAAATGACGAAGGGCCTTGAAGATGCTAGCAAGCACCGATCGTAAACCGTACACAACTCTCGGCATCCTTCAAACAGCGTTGCCGCCTTTTTGTGCGTTCCTCAGAGCCGCTTTCTTTTTCGTCAAAAGAGGGGAGTTCCGTCGCTCGAAATCTTTTTCACCCCACTTTGCTTCCTCTTCAACTTGTTTTTTTTTTTCTTCTTTCACGGAGAAACGGGCGGAAAAAGCTCCGATGTGGAATATAGCTGGGTTGATGGTGGGGGCCTCTGCATCTCGGAAAGGAGGGAGGCAGAGCAGCAGCACTGGGGGTAGCTTAACCTATGCGCACTACAGCAGCTCCTGAGAGCAAGTAAGGCGAGAAGGGGGGGAGGGGGCAAGACTGTAATTTAGGGACGGCACCAGCAACATCTCCTCGAGCGCTTTTTCTGGCTTGGTTTCGAAGGGCGCCACGGTAGAGTCAGCGCACTTCTTCACCGCAGTACCGGAGTCGGCAAGGCGCTTCCACTTTTCCAAGTGTAACCTGGCCCAGAGCGCCGGTTTCTTTCGGCGTTCAAAGGAGAGAAAAGCGGCTGGAAAAAGCGAAAGCCGGTTCTTCTCCTGCCCTCCCTGTGCGCTCGGAAGCTGCGGTTGCGGTGCTTTTGTCTGTTTTTGTTGTTTACGGGCTTTAGTGACGGAAACAGATGAGCCATGGAACGCGCTCGAGGGCTGTTTTGTTGTCGTGGCTAGTCAAGCTCCTGCACGATGGCCATGCGCGCATCGTTGGCAGCGCAGATACAGCCTTTCTTTCTTTTCAGAGCCACTACTCGGCGGCGACTTCTGTTCGAAGCTGTCGTGGCGCCGAGTAGGGGGCCCATTGGCTCTCCCCATTGTCTATGCGACATCTCTGTCTCTGTGCGGAGGTCGCGTCGCTTCGACGCGCTGCACTTTACAGCGCGCGTAGACAATGGGGTAGGCTCGTCGGGCACAGCCGATGGCCGGCGGCACGTTGTTTGATGCGTGCGGTGCTCGAAGCGAGCCGAAAGCTGCGCGCGTGCTCCATCATTCAAAGCCGCGGAGCTCCGGGCGACACGTGCGCTCACGCCGGCTCAGTTCGATGGGTTCGCCACTCAGGTGCCATTGAGAAGAAAGCGCGTAGGGTGCCCATATCAACGGCGCCACTCTGGCACCCACCACCGCTTTCATTGCCCGACAGCTGAAGACCGCCGTGTGTTCTTCCTACGCATTTTGCCTGGGACAGTTATGGTCAATCATTTCTTTCCGTTTCATCGGGAGAGCATTTTCACGTGGCGAGCTGGCATTCGTAGTACTGAAGTAGCCGAAGGCTTCTACTTTCAAACCCTTTTTATCTCCCGTCGTGCAACTCAGGCAGGCCGGCAGCTGTCCGCACTGCAATGGGGCGTCTCCAGACACCTACCACATGGTGTGGGCCGGCCCCAGCAGCTGATGCGAAGCAGCCTTAATTTTTTTAGGCGTGATTGCGCAATTATTTGCATGTGTGTGTAATATCATCATAATTACCAGCCTGATTACGCCCACTGCAGGACAAAAACCTCTCCCTTGTTCCGCCAGTAAACTTGTTCCTGTGCTTCCTGCTGCCACTTCATATCCGCAAACTTTCTAATCTCATGTGCCCACCTAACTTTCTGTCTACCCCTCATGCGTTTGCCTTCTCTGGGAATTGCCCCGCCACGGTGGTCTAGTGGCTAAGGTACTCGGCGGCTGACCCTCAGGTCGCGGGATCATATCCCTGCTCTGGCGGCTGCATTTCCGATGGAGGCGGAAGTGTTGTAGGCCCGTGTACTCAGATTTGAGGGCACGTTTAAGCAACCCCAGGTGGTTGAAATTTCCGGAGCCCTCCACTACGGCGTCTCTCGTAATAATATGGTGGTTTCGAGGCGTTAAACTCCACAAATCAATCAATCACTCTTCTATGGGAATCCAGTCAGTTACCCTTATAGACCAGCGGTTATTCTGCCTACACGACTGGCCCGGCCCATAACCATTTCTTCTTAGCTATTTCAAGTATGATATCCTTAACCCTGTTTGTTCTCTAACCCACTCTGCTCTCTCCTTGTCTCTTAAGGTTACACTTATCCTTTTCCTTTCCATCGTTCGCAGTGTCGTTCTCAATTTAAGCTAAACCCTCTTTGTAAGACCATAGGTTTCTTCTCCGTGGGTAGGCACCGGAAAGATGCAGCTTTTATATACCTTCATATTGAAGGTTAGCGGCAGACTACCATTCATGATTTCAGAATGCTTGCAAAATGACATTGATCTATTGCATCCTTGTTCTTCTATTTCGCTCTCATGGTTCGGCTCCACGGCTTCTTAAGGGATCCTTAAAAGAGAGAAAAGAAGATGAAAGTAAGCCCCGTAACTGTCTGCATAATAGTGCGACAGCTCAACATTAGCTCACGTGGAAAGGGGATACGGAGGGATTAAAAGGGATAGGGATAGAAAAGGAATAGGAATAGAGATGAGGACACCCACATAAAGAAGTAAAGGGAAGATAGAGAAATATGGGGACACCGTCGAAGGAGTCCGAGGACGGGCAACCACTCAGCGAGAGCTTCATGGCGTCAGGATATGGCAGAGAGCAAGCCGGTCGCCAAGAGCTGCGCTGTCGTCGGAGATCGCGCGGGCACAATCAGTCGGCACGGAATCCAGAGAGCGAGTCCCCGCTGTTCTAAGTAGACATATTCCTTTACAACATCCAGCGTCTGTCCACTTATCGCAAGGTGCTGTTTTCTGCCGAAACATTTGCAAGCTTGCTACGACAGTCATCTCTTAAGACGCTTGTATCGTTACAACCTGGGCTTTGAAACAGAAATACTTCGCTTGTCTTGTCGACGCTTGTATGCATGCACAGACTATCCGCCTGTCCAAGGTCCGTTCCCTCAACGCTTTCTTTCGACGGCTACTCACACTGCTTGAAACCAGGGCGCGACCGAACATACCATGGCTATCCACTAAATAGCCACTGGAACGCACGGGATGGCTACCAATGGCTTTTTTAATCCAACCGCACCTCACACTCATGTGGACACGGATGTTCACGCAAAAATTTGCGCCACATGTATAATTGCCGTAATGGCCCACGAATGCTTCAGCGATCTTAAAACAAGAGGCCGAACAATTCAGCCTCCTTGTTAAAAGAGCCAGTCAACAGGTTTCAACGTTTTTATCTCCCCCCCCCCCCCCCACCTGTTTTCCCGTACGAAGCTCGCAATTCGTAGAGTAGACCGCGGCGATCACGTTTAACGAATATTGCTGCGCGCCGCGCAAAGCCCCCATTTCGGGAAACGAGTCCCGTGCTCCTTTTACACGCCTTACTAATGCTCCTTTCCCGCGCAGTGACGAAAAGTCGCCACTTGACGTAGCACGCAGGTTATCGATTAGTGTGAATCAATCACGTCAGTGGGCCACGCCTTCCCGTCCCTGTGAGCAAGGAGGGTGGCGAGGCCGCGTAGAGATTTGAAACCAGTTGAAACCTATGTTCGAAGTTCCGTAACTTACTTAATATCGCGCGTATTCGCAAAATTCTTGCGGCAGCGCGTTCACAAAGGATCAGTGCACACATTTCTTTTTATAACAACTTTTGGGCCTCGGGGTTGTTTACTGGTCCTTCAAGTGTGAAACCTATGTTCGAAGTTCCGTAACTTACTTAATATCGCGCGTATTCGCAAAATTCTTGCGGCAGCGCGTTCACAAAGGATCAGTGCACACATTTCTTTTTATAACAACTTTTGGGCCTCGGGGTTGTTTACTGGCCCTTCAAGTGTGTTAAAGTGAGAGGAGGTAGACGTCTCCATGAAGGAACCAAGTCCTCTAGACGGAACACCCGCATATACTTCTCACAAACATAATTAAGATATGTCAATACTCCGAACGGATGGCCATTTAAAAGCTCTCTAATTATTCCAACGTTTCCATCATCCTTTCATTCTTTATCGAAACACTACTGGCATATAGATCCTCTACTTTTTTTGGGCAGGGAGGTTCCCTTGACTGTGAAGAGTGAGGAAACCTTAATTTAGTTAATGCCACTGGCATACATGCTCGAAAAGCTATGAAGTCCTCTTACAAGCATATTCAGCAAAATCGTGAAGGCATAATACGTATAATATCTATGAAGTATGCCGATTCGTTTAGTGCTGGTGGCCCAGTATTTCGTTACAATGGACAAGGGCATGAGCTCCAATCAAAAAAGACAACAGTCAATGATTACGTCATGATTGATTGTGGTGAATTAAATAAGGAACGAGGAAAAGAC